TACTATATTATATATATATAAATACGGACTTAAAATAACTCCCCTTAAAATAAAAAAAACTACAAATAAATTATATAACTATAATTATATAATAAAATAAAAAACAGACGTTTATAAATAAATAAGACAACCGTTTAAAAATAAGTAAAATAGACGTTTATAAATAAATAAAATAAATAATTATTTAATAAACAATTAAATAATTATAATAATATAAAATAGAAGATATAACTAAAATTAGGACTTATATATAATATAAATTTAAGCTAAGCTTAAAAATAGACTTTTTATAATTTTTTAATTATTAATTTCGTATTAGATCTTATAATTATTTTTAGCTATTTTTATTAAGAACCCTTTAATAAGATTGTTATTAATTACTAAAGTTTTACTTTATAACTTATAAATATAACTTCCTAAAAGTTATTTAATAACTCTTATTATTATTATTTAGTTCTCGCGGCCTGAACTTTTATAAACTTATTTTACTATAACTAGCTAGCCGTAATATAAATTAGCTTATTCATAAGGGTAAAAATAGGCCTTAATAAGGCGGGCTAGACCTTAAAAAGAAAACTTTTATTATATTAGTTTACTTTTTATTACACTTTTTATTAAATCTTTTAAAAACGTAAACCTTTTTAAAATCTTAAACGTTATTTTATTATATATAATTTATTATTTAAATTTGAAATTAGTAATTAAATACTTAGCTTATAAGTCCTTTACTTATCATATATAATAAAATATTTAATATTAAATTCTTTTGAACTTAAACTTTTATAACTAAAATAAATTTATAGCTTTTATTTACTTACTTTTATAAACGTTCTTTTTTATTACTCTACTTTAAGTTATAAATATATTACTATTTATTTCTTTTTATTAAGTTCTATTTAGTTTAGTTTAGGTTTAAAAAATACCTTACTACTTCGAGAGCTCGTAAATAACAAAAGACTTTAAAGTGAATTTTAAAAGTAAGACGGAGAGTAAAAGCTTTAGCCCTAAGCTTTATATAATATTAAAATTTACCGAAATTAGCTCTACCTAAAGTCGGCTATCAAGCTTCATTAAATATACTAGGAAGTCAGTTGTTATTTTCCAGTCGCTGGGTAAATAAGCCCAGGGCGGAGGACTGTCCAAGTTAAGGTACCTGGGACAGCTCAGGACAAATTTGCTCTAGATTAGTCCTAAAGTAAAAGGTCGTCGATACAAAGCGGTACAAAGTACCTATGACCAGATGTTCCTACGCAACACTCACTTTACATACTTTAACCAAGTCAAAGTGTAACGTAAAAATAGTAACTATCGAAGCCCTGAAAGTTGATATATTTGCTGCGATACAGGAATTGGATAACCTGCTTTCGGACATCCGAGAATCTCGCCTCCCCGGAGACGAAGGAGATTCATCTAGTTAATGAGCCAGATGGACCTCTTTAGAACTTAAAATAAACTTTTCTTTCGCTGTACGTAATAAGGTTCGTATGTCGCGGGAGACTTCGTTATAATGTAATAGAATAATCGCTGAAATTCCAAGAAACCTATTCCAGCCTCCGTTATCGGCTAGACTAGACGGGAGATATATTATACCTTGATTAAGCGGAACGACGAGCACGAACTACTCTCACATTGAGACCTCTTCTCAGCATTCATCTTCGCTTGAGACATTATTTCGTCATCACTCTCGCGAAGCCGCTTCATCGCAATGAAGCTTTTCTCACTCTCAAGCTTTTTATTTGCAACTGTTCTGCTTCGACCTGCTTTTTGTAAAGTAAGTATCAACTTGCCTATGACATAACGAACACTGAATTTATTTGTGCTTACAAACTGTCTTTTGCAGCTTGCGGTATGCAACCACGAGATTGTGGAAGCTTTGAGGTCGTCATAAAACTCACTATCTACTCAGGGGCATAACGCGTACGATGTCACGGAAGATGGGAATGAATATTCCGTCTTTACTAATGGTTACGAGAGGGGTCGAATCGCTGTGACTAGGGTCATCATCAAGAAACCAAAGACACTCGAGATCAAGACGGCGTATAACGGCCAGGATACGACCAACTCTAAACTACACCTCAATCAGATTCTGATGGCACTGTGGATGGAAAGGGGAGGTTTGCGAGCTTCGTCTTTAAAACGCGTCAAGTTCCTTGAGGTGGCAAACGACAGCGTCAAAGCCGCCATACAAGCAGCCCGACAGGAATTGGAGCTAGAGGATGTTGATGACTTCGAATTGGAGGTGGAAGACGTCGATCAAGATCTCTTGTCTAAGTTTCAAAACTGCGTGTTTGGTAAGGTCGTCACCAGATTGTGTCAGGCTTCTGGGCATGCACCGGAGTCTATTTCGGTTGAGCACACGGCTGGCTGGGACGATATCACCTGGGATCTTGTGTAAGACTCGTCGGCTGCCAGCTGTTTTCAGACCTTTTTACCACTAGCAGCGCTTAATTATCCCAGACTGGGAGGTTTTGAAGTTAATGGTTAATAAACAATGGCTAAGATGCTAGCATCAACAGTGTTTAACCCGATATTCAAATGTTGATGGAAGCATACCAGTTCTCAAGGTAGAGACATCCGTCTATACCACTATTTATTGACAATACAGAACTTTCTTTTCCTGTTTTTCTGCTACATACGACTGACTAACTTCCATGATTTGAAACCTCAACTAGCTTCTGTCATGATTATATATATCATATGAAGCGTCAAGCCGGCCGAGAACTTAGCAGAAGATAGTGAGCGCAGTTTGATACTTGCCTATAATTTCTCTGGAGGTGGTACACAAGGGAAAGGGCCGTCTGTATGGCCTGATCACCTTCCAGATTCTGTTCGGGGGCTTCTGAATGGGCTCGGTGAAGGGCTCAGAAAAATTGTCAAAGTCACATCACAGCTTCATACTTGCTTTTGTCCATTGAAGTTGTGGGTGGACTGAAACACGGACCTGGATAGTAGTTTAGCTTATGAGAGCCCCCTCGTGACTAAGACCACCTTATGTCTCAGTGATCGCTTCAAACTGAACTCCGAACGAAGTGAAGTCCAGAAGGTGGCAGCACATAATCGCCCAAGGTGGTTAAAAAATAAAGAGGACCAGTCCCAAATCTCTGCAGATCAGCTGGGGCAGACATTTTACCGGTTTCTCCTCCGACTGATTAGCTCAAACTAGTAAACTATTCCTCTCTCTATTGACTTTTCCACAACTGGTTTCTATACCCATGGTTCTTGCCAGCTGGTAAGAAGGACACCCTGCATCACTACATAGATCGAGCTAAACAGTTTGAGGATAGCTGTTACGAGGGCTCGACCAATGGGGCAATGCAAGGGAAAAGATGATGAGATAACACTTGAGTAAGTAGAATAGCTGCTTCGTTCACCGTGGCGAAATGATTTAGATTTTAAAGTTTGTTAGTAAGTGAGCGAGTGTGAGAAGGAGAGGGGATGATTCGATGTAGGACGCGAGGTCTCGAGTTTGAGGTTTCAAGTCGACGATCAGTCGAGACATCAAGTACACGCATGCTATAAATCGAGTTCACAGAACTGTTTGACCTTTCTCTGTTCCTTTTCCCAAAATTACGCGAGTACTTTCAATGTTCTCCTCAAATACGTAGTGCGCTCAGACATTTCGGCAGGAAAATTGGCCAAGCAGTTCGGGTAGTGCGGCAGATGGGAGCTGTCACAGGTTGAATTCTCCACTATTCCGCCCTGACTCTTCTAAAGTTCTTGCTAAATTCGAGGCGGCAAAGCGCCCAGAGGGCAGTAAAGGCAGCATTGCCTACAGGGGCGTGCACACACTTTACTGTGTTAGTATACTTGAGGGTGTGTAAACAATCTCAGGTCACTCTAGCTATTCTAACTGTCATATCTGGTAGAAAGCCTTGCTCATAGCAATGAATCTGAGCCGTAGAAAGCAGCAAACACGGTAGTCTTTCACCCCCAAGACTTCTCATGGGGCCGGATCTGGGCACAACAAGTAGCAGAGCGATAGCCTGCAGCAATAGCTTGCAGCAACCCTCCTTGCAAACGGAAAATGCAGAAGGGTATGGAAATAATCGACCAGATCATCTTGATGAAGTGGTGAGCCGTTGGGCTATCAGACACTACCTTGAGAAGAGATTCCGAGACGGCGTTTTGGCGATGCTGCAAATGCCCAGAGCCATGACTAATCTGCAATGGTTTCCTCACTTTTCGGCCTCTTATCAAGCTTTCTTGGCTTAGGAAGCAGGGAGTAATGGATTAATCTCTTCATTAAGATGAAAGAAACCTTATTACTCAAGTGGGCATCCATACACCGACGTGCCGAAAGTCTCTCAAACTCCAAATGACACCTAGCTTCAAGAGCTATTGTCAAAGCTCACATCTGTAGACCTGCTCCAATCGGAGGTTCACTCATAGAGTTTCTCACAAATCGCGATTGTGCTCTAACATCAGCATTTATTGAGTTCTCATGAGGGAATGTTCTTTGTCTCTGAGAAATGGCCAGTCGCAAAATCACGAACTGGCTTCTGCTTCTAGGCGTGGTATTTTTGGACTGGCATCGCGATGAGACGGGAGCTGGCATTATCGTAGTCAGAAACTCTTTTTTTCAGAGTATACCGAGTCAGTAAATATTACCGGACCTCCTCGGTCATATTTCTTGGCGGTCTGAAGCAAATTGAGTTTCACGGTGTCGCTGTCAATCTCAGTAAGGTTTGTCTATGCGCCAAGTGCTTTACTTCATTTAACTGACTTTTCTGCTCAGACTTGTGTTTAAACTCTAATCATGGCTTCTCCGGATCAGCTCGGTTAACTGAAATGGAAGACGAACGAATTTCGGCGTCTCCAAAGAAAGTCTAACGTAGCCCTTTTGGGCATTTGTAAGCCTGTCATCTCATGTCATTCCAATGTGGGAGGCGGGAAAGTTCGACCATGATCAAATCAGTTTTTGGTCGCATAGTTCCTGCAACTCCATCCGATTGTGATTAGGTTTTTGCATGTCTCATTCTTGGTTGTCAGCAAAATCGAGAATGGCCAAACAGACCTTTCCCAGAGGTTTTGTCACCCCAAGAGTTCGCCCCAGAACTTTGCTTATTCTGGCTTTTGCTGGCATTGTCGTTCATTTTTGCTTCAAATTAAGAAACGAATCGAGTGTGCAGCTTGTCTCCTGGCACGATGTTACACACGAACCTCCTCCCGAGGGCCTTGTCGACCAACCGCCCGTCTCCTCTATCCAGCAGTCCATTCCACCTATCGACCTATCCAAGAACAAAGACGAAGAATTGCAACAACAAAAGGAAGAAGCATCGAAACAAGAGGCTGAGAGCTTGAAACAAGAGGCCGAAGCATTGAAACAAGAGGCGGAGGCATTGAAGAAGGAGGAGGAAGCATTGAAAAAGGAAGAAGAAGCCCTCAAACATGAAGCAGAGGCTGTGAAGCAGACCGAGAAGAAGCAGAAACAGGAAGAAGAAGCAAGGAAACATAAGGAAGAAGAACATGAACAGAAGCTACGGGACCAGTTTGCCCGGGAGTACGAGGCGGCTAAAAAGTGAGTACTTCACGGATGGCCTGCCGTCATCGCATACGCACACGTGGCTGACTTGACTTTAACACTAGGCTTCCCGGTAGCGGTGCAATCTATGGCAACACCTTGAACTCCTTGGTCGACACAGACAACAGAACAGATCTACATGCAGCGCGATTACGAGAATCCAGCGAGGAAGAAAAGCCTTATTCGAACCATCGACCTGTCCATTTCAACCCGTATCCCCATTATAATGGAGAGGATTGGAAAAAGGAGAAACGTAGCCCATATGTGCCATGTTTCGGTGCTACTGGGGAGCGTGTGGAGGACTTGCTTGTGTTCAAAGGCAGGCCTGCCAAGTTTCCAAAGCCGTCCTTCGGCAGCTTCGACATTTTCAACATGGACGGCAATCTCTGCTATGAACGCGAAAGTAGACTGGGACCTTACGGCCACACACTGCAGATCAAAGCGAACAGTCTACCAGTAGATTGGGACAGCGTTGATTGGGGTAGCCTTCAAGAAAACTGCGTCAAACAGAACGCCGCTCGTTTTAGCCCTGGAAAGCCCAATGCATATGTTGACACCGTTTACGGGAACTCCGGGACCGCTCAGAGACGAGAGGCGAGAGCAGATGGAGAGGAGGTTTCGAACAAATTGTCAGCAACATCAACAGGGACTGAGTCCCGAACTGCTGTTCTTCTTCGCACTTTCACTGGCAAACGATACACGGAAAACGATAAACAAGCCATCAGATCCTTGATTTCCGAGCTATCCCTGCGTTCGGGCGGCGAGTACCAAGTCTTTCTCCTATTACACGTCCACGACCGTTCGGTCAACCTGAAGGGTGACAAGGCGGCCTATCAACATGTTTTAGATGAACATGTACCTCGAGAGTTTCATGGTATTACTAAACTATGGAACGACCAAGTCGTGTGGGACATCTACACAGCTCTCACCGAAGATGACGAGAAAAGCGTTCACCATGCACAATGGCTATCCGTTCAGAAGTTTAGCATGGATCATCCCGAGTTCGATTACATATGGAATTGGGAGATGGATGTAAGGGTCGTCGGGCATAACTACGATTTCTTGGAGAGTCTGAGAGGATTCGCAAGAAAGCAGCCACGAAGGGGTCTGTGGGAACGCAATGAGCGTTACTACATTCCAGATCATCACGGAACGTGGGCTGAATTCCGCGACTATGTCGAGAAGCAAACCACCGGTACCCAAGTTTGGGGTCCACCGAGCGTGCCCTTCATCAATCCGGTCGGGCCAAAACCGCCCACTGGAGATCCCCGAGATGACCAATATGACTGGGGCGTTAATGAGGAGGCAGATCTTATCACTCTTGGTCCTATTTTCAATCCGGTCAATAGTAGCTGGATTTTCGCAGACCATATTTGGGGCTACAAAGATCAACAGCATCCAGCAACGTCACTCCCTCGGCGGTGCACTATTGTTACACAATCGCGCATTTCTAAACGCCTTCTGGATATCATGCACGTCGAGAATCTCCGCGGTAATCACATCGCGTCGGAAATGACGCCCCAAACGGTTGCACTTCTCCATGGGCTGAAAGCAGTTTTTGCTCCCCATCCCACTTGGTTTGATCGTCCTTGGAACGGAAAGTTTCTCGATCATTGGTTCAACCCTGGGCCAAGAGGTGAAAGTGGTGGCCAAGGGAGTGCAATGGGCTACGGAAGAGAACGCAGATACCAAGGGATTACTTGGTACTATCGTGCTGAGCCTCCTTCTAGGTTGTATAACAACTGGATGGGGTATATCGATACCGATATTGGAGGTCGAGACTGGGAAATAACCCACGGCAGACCTTGCTTGCCGCCCATGATTCTGCATCCCATCAAGGATGTCAATCCAACCAACCCGGGATTCGCGACTAAATTCGAGCTTTTCTACGGCTGATAGCCTCCAACAAAAGAAACCATAGTGTGATGGATTTTGATCATGACTAAACCTTACTTATGAAAGGAGCCCCTACTGCTACATTTGATGATGAGTGGTTTCCATCCTGTGAAGAATACATAGACTTGTGGCCGTTCAAAGACCTGTCAGACAGAAAACGTGATTTAGTAGAAACACGAAGAATATAACGTATGTATAATATTATTATGCCGTCGATTATTCCGTAGTTGTGAACTTTGTAAGAGGGAAAGTACAAAAAGAAGAAGAAAATCAAAACAAAATAGTCTATTAAGATAGTAAGAGTATTTACTAATATTATATGTTAATACTATATGAATAATATTGAGAATTACCGGAGCAGCCAGCAAAGGCAGAACTTCAAAATAAATATAACATTATTATAGGCTTTATGCTGAGAATCGCAAATTCAAAGGACAGGAAGGACAGATGAAAGATGTTGAACCTTCACTTTCTAAAGTACTTTAGTCAGCCACGTCAAACCTTCCAGTGAGGTTCCCGCTATTTGATCCGTAGCTTTTGCAGCACTAACTCCTTTCTTCGACTAGTCTCACGACTTATGCATGTCAGGAACTTTATTCACGACGCTCAATTAATCGTGAAGGGAAAATACTGACCTCAAAAGGCCATTATGTAAGGTAGACCACGGAGTATGTGGTTGGAGTACAAGCTTTCAAAAGTCTTGGCGTGATATCAGAAACAGCCGTATATTGATTTCACGCGATTTGGAGCACAGGAGAGAAACATTCACTGACTAGTCAATCCAATTAGAGGCCTCATGTTCTGAAGCAATGTCATGCTCATCCTTGTAGTCGCGAAGTTGAGATCTTTGCCTCAACACGTTTCTTCAGCTACCTTATGTGATGCTGAGTAGGTATATTGAAGACAGATCCCAAGTTAAAACTAAAACAACCAATCAAAGCATGATTTTGGACAGCAGTCAAAGTGCTTTGCAAAACAAGGAAAAAGTCAAGGGTTTTATTTGAAACCATTTCCTGGCTAATTTTTCCACGGTAGTTGTTTCAATCCAGAATCGACCTTGACCATGTTGATTGAGAGGAACACCCATGATACTGGTATCAAGGCTTGTCACGCTCATCATGGCCGAGTCTTCGCTTGCATATGATTGAAGGCAAGTATACTGCCCTCTACGGACACTTCTCAGTAGCCAGCTTGGTTGACTGTTTGACGACGCCATCGAGTTCTGTAATAGAGATCTCACCCTCGCCCGGCCCATCACTGCTCATGCTCAAGTAGTTGTTGATGATCATAGTGAACTTGCCTCCGTTAGAGTTGCAACCAGACCGAAATTCGGTGGAAAGATTGTTGGTAAACTCGGTAGCGGCATCAATCGGTGCTTTAAAGGGCCATTCCAGGTTAATAGTTCCCCGGCTTCCTTTGAACTTGTATTGATTCTGGTTCTTGGCCCAGGCCCCTTCGGTCAATCTGACGTGTCCCTTGTAGGTTCCGCTTCGAAATGTCAGTCTGTGAATCATTTCTATAGAATTTGGCTACATAAGAGTCGCGGCCTGTGAGAATTTTGATGCATACCTCAAAATAACCAGCTGTCTATCGGCAGCTGTCTGAATGTCGACCTCGATCTGGCACTTGACCTTGACTTTGTGGTCTCCAGCCTCTTAAAGAGGTGAGCAGTGATTAGTGTAAGGCGCCGACATTTCTTCTCGAAAAACGTACTGATCGTGGTATTCAAAGCTTCATACAACACATCAAAGCTGCCGCTAGGGTCGAGATTCCCACTCAGAGACCCAACAGGACAGCCCTCCCCAGTGTATCTGATACCAGTGACGGCAAGAGTAGCATTATCTCCAGAAACCTGACGTCCCAGGATCTTGTGCGGAGGACTGGCAACAGCAGCACCGGCAAGGAGTGGAATTATGATCGAAGATATATGAACCATGGTTGCAATGTGGTTAGAAAACTTGTGAAGCCTACTGCGTAAGGTAGCGCAATGAAGTGTGTCGTGATGGCACGAAAGGTTTCGTCCTCATGGAACAATCGATCACCAGCGTGATACTTATAGCTCTCTCAAGAGCAAAGGAAAAAGAATGATGTTTAAGGTGGCAGAAACTTAAGTTTCGGGAAGCCCGAATCTCAATTTTACTAAGTGGAGCTGACGCGAACAGATCTACATTGGCCGAATTCCACATTTAACCAACCCTTGCTGGGTTTGGGAGTTGTCTAATTGATTAACATATTCCTCTGCAGATTCCGTGGAACACGATGCCTTAGTGAGCCGGGATCTGCGCCGCTGCGATCTTGAATAACCATCGCGTCGTCTCGGATTTGGCAGCTAGTTCTAGACGCCAACGCTCTAAATATATTTATTTCCTCATTTTCATACTTCTCTTTAATTCACAAAATTGCAGTTCTATCTTTTAAGTCTTATTTTGCCCTCCTACTAGTTTTTTATAAGCCTCGCGTTCTAGTATTTTGATAGATAGTCTATTAAATCTAAAGAAACTTCTTAATATACTAATTAAGTTTAATCGCTAGAACTATTACGGCTAGCTAGTTATAGTAAGTATATTAATAAAAGTTAAGGCTACGAATACTAAGTAAATAATATTATAATTATAAATAGCTTCCCTAAAACTTTATTTATAAATCGTAAAATAAATAAAGTTTTAATAATTAATTATAGTTTTATTAAAAAGATTTTAAATAAAAATAATTAGAAGTAATTATTAGATTTAATATTAAATTAATTATTAAAAAAGTTATAAAAGTCCGTTCTTAAGCCCGGCTTAAGTATATTTTATATTTAAATCTTATTTTTAAATATATTTTTTATAATATTTTATTTTATTTATTAATAATTACTTATTTAGAGTAATTATTATAATTATTTTATTATTTAACTACTCCTTATTTATATATAACTTATTTTATAGTTTTTTTATTTTAAGGGATAACTTTTATATCCTTAGTTTAATATATATATAATATATTATAGCTACTATAAGCCTATGGGGTAGGCCCTAGTTATAGTTATATATATTAAGTTATAATAAAAACGTTCTATCTATATTAACCCCTAAGCTTAAAAATTAATACTCTTATAACTTA